CACAATAAAAAGAAGCAACTTTAGCAGGCTTGTACAGAAATAGTGTGTGACCAAGTGCTATTGCTGACCACACAAATGATTTTATTTTTGACAACTTAACCACAACTGTTCAGATGTTTTAAAAATGATTTTAGAAATGTGCTGAATAAGGAAAGGCTAAGATAAACTTAAACTAGGAAGAAAATTCAGAAAAAAAAAACAAAGAAAAAACATATAAATCTTTATAAAAAAGAAAATATATTATTACTTAAATGAAACTCAAAAAACTCAAAAATTACTTTTTATTACGTTTTTAATTGCATTTGAAATAAATTATTTTAAAACTTATTTTTTGAAACATTTTATTAATGTTACACAAAACGCTTTTAGAAAAAACAGTTTTTATTCCTAATGATTGCTTAATGAATAAACTAATTATATAAAAATTGTTAAAGACTGTTTTATACTATTTTTAAAATGTATAAATATCTATTTTTTCCACGTCACATATTTTGTCCAAGTCACAAAATGAATATTGTTTAAAAAAATAATTTATTGTTTTTAAAAAAGTAAATTTTAATCATTTCATACTCTGATTATGTCAAGTTAAAAAAAAAAGGTTCCTTGTAAAGGTTCAGTTCTTTGTGAAAAAAAAAAAAAATTAAAAAAAAAAAATATTAAGGCAATTAAATCATTCCATTGAAATGGTAAGATTAAATTTATTCATAATTTAAAGTAACTTAAAAAAATAATCTTTAAAAAATTTCTTAAAAAGAATCCCCCTATCATCGAACATTTTGAATCCCAGAATCCCCCTATATCATCCTATATCTTACAACTCTTTTCTATTTTCTTCATGATGGCCCATGTAGAAATTTTTCGTCTTCCTGTTGACAAATGTGCTTCTTACATAACTTTGTCAATTCAGGCTGGCATGGCCTCACTCTTCTCTGTGGTTTTCCTCACATTGTGCTGCTGCAATTGCCAATCAAAACCATTACTTCCATATCTATCAGCAATTCTCCAGAAAACAGACATCTGTTTATTACTGCTAGGAACCATTGTAAAAAGGTTTTGATTAATGCCAAAGCTACTATCAGGTCATGAAATCTCGTATATCACCACAAAAATTAGGCTCTCGTGACTACTGGAGAATCTTTAATAGTATCAATAATAAGAGTAAATCTGTAATTCCACCTCTTTTGTATGGTTCAGACTTTGTCACCTCACCTAAAGACAAAGCTGAATTGTTTGCTAAGAACTTTTCACCAATATCATCTCTTGATTCCATTAGTTGCGTTCTACCTGATATAGCCATCAAACAGGTTGATTCATTGCTTGACATTCGTATTACTCCAGCTTCTGTATCTAAAGTGATTTCCTGCTTAGACTCTTCTACAGCTTGTGGCCCAGACAACATACCTGTTATAGCCTTGCAGAAGTGTTTGCTGGAGCTGTCGTCTATCCTTTCAAAACTATTCAACAAGTGCTAATCAGAGTCTTGCTTCCAGTCTGCTGGAAAGCAGCATCTGTTATCCCTATTTTTAAAAACTCTAGAGAGCGATCAGATTCATCTAATTACTGTCCCATTAGTCTTCATCCTATTATAAGCAGGGGTATGGAGTCGTAAAAAACAAGTAACGACTCCGACTCCAGTTGTTGAAATTTTTTGAGCACAACTCTAACTCCGACTTCGACTCCAATTCCAAAGCAAAATTTTTAAAAAATTCTTTGAATTCTAAAAAAAAAAACCGCAATAACTTAAAAATTTCTTTTTTGACAAACTTATGAAATGTTTTTTGAGGTTTAGAATAAAAATAAGGTTAATTTAATGTTTTGTACATGCAAATGTAATACCGAGAAAGTTTACTATTGGTGTTGCGATTTTGTTTAGCGACTCCGCTAAAAATGTCGCAACTCCGCAACTCTGGCTCCGACACAGTCCTGATCATAAGCAAGGTTTTTGAATCTTTAATTAACTAAGAATTAATCTCTTATCTTGAATCTAATAACTTACTTTCTGATCATCAATAAGGATTTCAATCTTCTTGTTCTACGGCTGATTTGCTAACAGTTATAACCGATAGGTTTTATCATACATTAGATGAAGGTGGAGATGTTAAGAGCATCGCTCTTGACATTTCTAAAGCGTTTGATAAAGTTTAACATGCTAGTCTTCTCCATAAGCTTTCTTCTAACGATGTATCTGGAAACATCTTTAAGATTATTGAATCCTTCCTTTCCAATCGTAGTATCAAGGTTGTCCTTGATAAACAGCACTCTTCTTCTTATTCTGTAACCTCAGGGGTTCCTCAAGGTTCAATCCTTGGCCCTATATCCTAGATGTATATATATATATATATATATATATATATATATATATATATATATATATATATATATATATATATATATATATATATATATATTATCCTAGATGTATATATATATATATATATATATATATATATATATATATATATATATATATATATATATATATATATATATATATATATATATATATATATATATATATATCATCAGTGAACAATGTCACTCTAGATGTGAGAATATCTTCCAGATATTCTCACATCTAAGGTGACATTGTTCGCTGATGATATTACCATTTATTCTTGTCATGATAAGAAGCCAACTCTCTCTGATTGCTTTGAAGGAGCATTTGAGCTTGAAAAGGATCTCACTTCTGCTACAGCATGGAGCTCACAGTGGCTGGTGAACTTTAATTCAGACAAAACCCAATTTATTTCAGCCTATCGTCATCGCAATAACTTAGACCTTCCTATATTTATAAATGGTAATGTACTCAATGAGCCATCTACATCTTCTAGAATTAACTCTTACTTCCGATCTTTCTTGGAAACCAAATATCAAATCCGTTGCTAAATTAGCATCTGCTAAAGTTGCATCTTTTAATCGAGCTCGACACTTTTTTACTCTGGATTCTATTGTCCGGCCTTGTATGAAATATTGTTGCCATATCTGGGGCGGATCTTCTAATGATGCCCTTTCTCTTTTAGACAAGGTGCAAAAACGTATTGTAAACATAGTTGGACCTGCTCTTGCACCCAATCTTCAACCTTTGTCACACCATCATAATATTGCTTTTCTTTTTCTTTTCTATAAATACTATAGTGGGCACTGCTCTAAAGAGCTAGTGTCTCTTGTGCCATCTACTAAAATTTATTCTCGTGTTACTCTTCATTTAATTAAGTTTCATCCTTTTTCTGTTACTGTTCCTAAGTGTTCCAAAAACTCTTATTCGTCTAGTTTTTTTCTCAAACATCATTTCTTTGGAATTCGCTTCCTTCATCTTGCTTTCCTGATTCATATGATTTACAATTTTTTTAAGTCGTCTGTCAATCGTTATCTTGCTCTACAATCTTGTTCTTTTTTCCTCCAGTAACTTTCAACACTAATTAGTGGTTGCTTGCAGCCTTGTTGGAAGTGAAGATAATTAAAAAAAAAGAAAAGTTCCAAACTAGTTTTGAAAATAGTTTAAATTTATCATAAAAAAAGATAAAAAAAGAAAAAAATATAAAAAAAATGAAAAAAAAAAAGAAAAAAAAACATGAAAAAAAAATTTAA